TCTAGATTTATCCATTTAAACTTATTTGATAAGTTGTTCAATTTAGAATTCAAATTAATTTAAGTTTGACTTAAATTGGAATTTGAATTTGAGTCAAAATTGGACTACAGGATAAATGATGATTTTCTCTTCCTTCCCTATCCAGTATTGGCGCCACACACAGGGATAGGAATCCCTAGCATGGCCGGCCACAAGGGATAAGGGATAGAGGAGAATTTTGGTTCGAAATTCAAATTGGAGATAGAGATTAGATTCCTTCTAGAAGTTTGACTTCTACTCTATAAATACTATTTTTGAGACAATTTTCGGAATGGTTTTTTGCCCTAATTTTAGAGGTAGCTGAAATTTCTCTATAGAAATTTTGAAAACAATTTTTCAGCCCTAAGGGTTAAGGCTGGCCGAAATTCTCAAGAGAAAAAGGAAGGAAAAATTTTTTCTCCAAAAGTTTCACATCGTGCATGCGATGGTGTTTGTGGAAATTCGAGTGTTTATTGTAACCCGTTTTGTCTCATGTGTGCCCACACACACGTCTTCGTGGATTCTAGGAATTGACGTGGAAGACATTGGTTTTCTAAACACAAAGATTGGAGCAAGGACTGTTCGTGGTCAAAGAACTCAAGTTATCATCCGAGTCGGCTTCCAGGTATTTTTCCTAATTGAGTTCTTGAAATATATAAGTTAATGAGATTAATTTATTCGTGCATAAATTAATATAATCTATAGAGTATCTCAAAAGTTTTATGAAAATTTTTGTTGTACACGATCCGCCTCTTCCCCACACCACCGCGCTTCCGCACCCGGATTCAATTCGGGCGACCAACACAAAGTTCTAACACTAGATGTAACATTTTTTGAGTGCTTTTAACTGTAGAAACTTAGAACTGAAAACTCAACGGTTGAACTTTAGGAGGGAGTTAAACTCTAAATTGGACATTTTAACTTATTTCAAATAGTGAATATAATTCGAATTGCTTGCCTACCAAACATAAATTTAAACTGTACTCACCGTTCAAACTGAGTTGAACTGAACTAAACCATTAAAACAAACGGGGGCTGAATGTATCCTAAAAATTATAAGGTAACCTTGACAAATACCCTTTAAAAGTGCATGAGTCAAGATTTTTACCCTTTATTCTTGGTTCATATACCTTTTTAGTTAAATAATTACACTAACAAAATTGTATTTATTAAAAATAATAGGGTAAAAATTCAGACTTATACACTCAAAGATAAATTCTCTATTTTTTCAAGATTATAAGTTATAGAAGATAAGACTCTTGTTACCTTTCTTAGCTTACATAATGCGTAAGAATTAATATTGGGGCATTAAAGTAATTACATGGCACCAAATGTGCCAGGTGCTTTTCTCAAACCGTTAAGGAAGAGAAAAGGCCACTGGGTAGGGTTCAACTAAGAATATAAACACAAAAACTTAAAAATATCCTTATAATATTATTCTCCGCCTAAGATAAACAAAGAATATTAAATCTTATCAAGCCCTCTCTTTGTCCCCACGCTCTTATAATTTATAAATATAAGTATCAACTTCCTCAAAGTTCCCACTAATATTCTTGTGCATTGACCCTACTATAGTACTATTTCTCAGTAGCCATTTGCTATACATATATATTTTTTTATTTTATTTTTTTTCTGCTAATGGCTGCCGAGAAGCAAAAGTCAATACCTCGTACGAATGGAAAACTAATGACAATTCTCAGCATTGATGGCGGCGGAATCCGAGGTATTATCCCAGGCACCATCCTTGCCTTCCTCGAAGAAGAGCTTCAGGTAAGTGATCTTCTTTTATATAGTATCACTGATCAAATAGTACTAAAACATAAGAGATTATTCGAATCATAAAAACCTCACTATAGCTTTTTCTTAACGCTTCGAACTTGATATGTTTTGTGAATTTTTAATTTAATGAAAAGGTTGCACAATATAACCTCATTAACAATTAATGCTATTAAAAACATATATTTTTCAATCCATACAATCAAATTATCAGTCATCCATTAATCTTCAATTTAATTGTGTGCTTGAATCTATGCACTAAAGTCACAAGCTAATTTATTGTTTAGTCTTAACTCTCTTAATTTATAAATTGATCTTTTTTTTTTTGTCCCTCTATTTTTTTAACACCCTCTGGCTCTTTTTTTAACTGCACATATTTTTGAAGGCCAAAGAGTTTATCGGTACTCTAAATTTATTGGGCTTAATTATATTGATCAGGTGTCTATTGAGATTTCACAGAAAATGTAACATACAATCAAAAGTTAAAATCTCAAATGGATATATAGACCATATATATGATGATCATTGCATTCTAATAATTATTTAATGAAATTACAAGCAGAAACTTGATGGTCCGCAAGCAAGAATAGCGGACTATTTCGACGTGATCGGAGGGACAAGCACGGGAGGAATAGTGACGGCCATGCTCACCACACCAGCTAATGGTAAGGGTAATGGTCGTCCAATTCCAGCTAAAGACATCAACAAGTTCTACTTTAAAGAAGGTCCAAAAATATTCTCCAACGAGGCTAAATTGGCCACACAACAGATCAATGGATGGGGAGAGCCAAGTGGGGTCTTTGGTAAGATCGTCTCGCAGATAGTAATGGCGGGAGTGTGGACATTCACAAGGCTCAAAGCACCAGAATATGATGGGGTTCACCTACGTACGAAGATCAAAGAAATATGTGGGGCCAGACTCTTGGCCGACACTCTCACTAATGTTGTAATCCCTGCTTATGACATGCAAGACCTGTGTCCAATCATCCTCTCTACTCAACAGGTCAATCCGATGGTCAATTTCCTTAAATGTCGTTAAATTTCTTCTTTTATATATTTCTATCTAGTAGTTGATTTACTAATGATCTGACACTTAGAGATGTGGAGATGTGTGTGTGTGTAATATTGTTAATCTACTAAGTTGCTAGACTTGTCACAACAAACAACTCACTACTAGAAAATCGACCGCTATTAAATGTATAAGACGGCGTTCAAAAAGCGCCACTAATCTAGGTACCATTAAATGTTGTATGAGATATAATGGCGGTCAAAATAGTAAGTACTCAAATGCATGCTTTTTCGATATCCATAAGTTCCATTTGTCATATCCATGTCGTTTCTTTGTTTCCCATGTTGTATATCATTTAGCTCGTTGTATTATGCTATATAAGTCTTTAATTTCGCATCTATTTTGCTTTGGTCCTCTTACCCACAAACGACATGCCGTTTTTACCTAGAAATTTCTTATTAAATGACATTTTCTAATTCCTGTGAGTTGAAACATAATAAGCAACGTCTCTTTTGTATTTAAGTAGGACTTTCATATGAAGTTTGTATTTAAAACTACATGTTGCGTGCCGTTTAATTTGAGCAACAATTTCATCTTGCGTTCATTCTTTTTACCTAAAACGACGTGTAGTTTCTTTTTACAGTTTTGGCATGTATTTGTGATGTAAACGTACATAAACGACATTTACGATTGCATGCCACAAGTTTCTTTGACCTCAAGTATCACGTATCAATATGAATTATCTGGGAATTAGCTTACTTTTAGTGCGATTATTATGTGTTACTAACATATGATTTGTATTAATGTAGCCCTTTGTTGGTATAATAATAGTATATATACACTTGTGTAAAGAGTAGTAGTACTGTTCTGGGTTCGGGTATGCTTGAAAATGGTAAATTTGTTTTGCCAAAATTCGCAGGCGAAAAAGAACAACTCAGAGATAAAATTGGAAGACGTAGTTGTGAGCACATCAGCAGCACCTTCTTACTTCCCTTTCAGTAAATTCGAAGCAGATGGTAAAGAACACGTTCTTGTTGATGGGGGAATTGCTGCCAACAACCCTGTAATTTGTTTTTGCTCTTTACACTTGTAACCATTTCTTATCTTGATGATTTTCAAAAGGAGAACTCTTTGTAGGATACAATTAAATATTTTTTAGACTTTCAAATTCTTCATCAAGTTTCGTTGAATTTATATACTTCACTTATTTTATATTACGGTTCAAAAAATTGTACAGTGTTAGTAGAGTTTTTTTTTTTTTTTTTTTTTTTTTTTTTAACGCTATCAAGAGATTTTCCTTTTAAGAATTATATTGTTAATCTATTTTTTTCTTTGTTTGACACATGTTTATCTAGACATTGCTAGCAATACGTGAAGCAACAAAGATTTTAGAGAAGGAAAATGGTAGGAACTACAGTGCTCAACCAGATGACAACAACTTTTTAGTTCTGTCTTTGGGAACTGGCTCAGCTGAAAAACGGAGCGGTCATAATATTGGCCTCGGAGGCCTGTTAGATTGGTCGTTCAGCTTCGAAAAGGGGTTGTCGCCTTTGTTTGATGTCATGTTTAGGGCAGCTGATGACATGATAGACATTTACACATCCCTTATTTTGGGAAACCACAATGCTCGACATAACTATCTTAGAATCCAGGTACATATATTATGTATATGTATTTTACACACACATTTATATATGGTACGGTATGCAAAAATAGCATGTTAGTATTACGTATAGACTGTCAAATGTTTATTTAGTTTCGTCAATATAGAGTACCTTTTCATTTTATTGTACATTTTATGTACATGTATATCTTTTGGTATATCATGCATGAAGTGTCATCGTGGTATAAGTTTTGCGTTTAGACTGTCAAATACCTAATAAATAAAGTATATCTTGGTATGTCATGCACGTATATGTAAAAATGGCCTCTACGTGTAGGATTACACAATGAAAGCCGACGAGGTGAAAACAGACGATGCAAGTCCAGAAAATCTCGAGAGGCTTAAAAGTATTGGGAATAATCTTCTTACTCGCTCTGTTTCAATGACTCATCCAGAGACTGGCTTGCCAGACATAGTGACTCTGGATATGTCTCTGTCTGCTAATCAAAGTGAAAGAATAACCAATAATAAAGCTGCTCTCATCAGGTAAACATAAACTACTTATTATGAAATTTGAAACCAGAAAAGCATATTGAATAGATTTTGGTATATGTACTCTCATTTTTTTTTTTAATTTTGAACTAATTTTCTGTTAATTAAATAATGAGCACCCTAGTAATTGACAATTTTGTGATCTTACGTTGATGTAGCTTTGCTGAAAGATTGTCTGAAGAGAGGAAGCGCAGGCACAGCTCTAAGTAGTTATCAATCATTATTAGTTCTTATTAATGCAGCTTTTGCTCTCTCTCGTTTATATAAGATGAATGACCTTAAGTGGAATACAAAAAGCTGTATGGTATACACATATCTCAAATTATTGATGAAAAGAGGGAAAAGATGTTACATCCTCTTGGACATGTGCCATTACTCATTCTTAATTTAAATAAATAAATAAATAAATAAAGCTCCTTATGGAATTATGAGCCTTCAACCCTTGGAAAATTGTGGCTGTTTACTTAATTTCTAGCATATATTCAAAAGAGAATCCAATCCTATTATATTACATGAAAATAACTTGTGATGCTCACTCAAATCTCAATTAAGAGTTTGTCTAATTCTGCCAGTGTTGCAAGTGTGAAGCATTGTCTTTCATAGAACTAAAAAAGAAACTTTTTTTTTTTTTGCTTTTAAAACCTGTGCAACTAGAATAAGTATCTTAGGTACTAAAGAAAATAAAATATACAGTAGGTGTATGGAATAGTGGTAGAGGCACTCAACGAACTCCGCAAGGCAATGGTTAAAGGTTTCAAAACCACACTCTTGAGATGAGAACGTTTTTGTTTTTGTTTTTTTTTTTGGTCATCTTTTTAACCAGCGGCACTTGATTTGGTGCGGTTTTTGTTGCTTAAATCAATTAGTTCGATTGGATTAGTCATTTTGTATAACCTTATAGGCCACTTTTAGAGAAGGTACCACGACGTAAAGGTAGAAGGGTAATAATATAGTCTTGACTAACTCCTAACGTAGCTTATCCAATATAATTTGACTCTTATGGACTTGTACATATTGAATTAGCTCTGCACCATCTTGCTCCTTGTTTCTTGGCGGGGCTACTAAGTAATAGATATTTGTTCTCTAATTTCAACTCTTTTTTTTAGCTCGGCTATAAAGGTACCTGTCAACGTACCAAAAAGTTAGCCCAAAAAAGACTTGGTAAATAACTTTCAATAATGTCGTCTTTTTTTCTTTCTTTTTTTTCCTAGTTACGATACAACTCAAAAAGCTTTGAGCAATAAATGAATTTCTCAAATAGTTTGAGGTTGCTGCCATTTTTAAATATCTTTGGGCGTAGTTGCCAAAATGAATGTGAAGAGGTGTATGTCCTTTATCATTAAACGACCACACGATTTTTCGGTACAGTTTAATTGTAATGCTAACTTTGCCAAATACAACAAAAGTCAGCAATTGAGTTTACTACTACTGTAAAAAAAAAAAAAAAATCAAATAAAAATGCTAAAGGCATAATGCGGTCTCATTCGAAATCGACGGGTTGTAGCATGTCCTTCATTATTTTTCAATTTTTATTTCAAGCACATATCCAAAAACAAAATATTACTAAGCACAAGAAATCATTAGAGCGAGAGAAAGAAGGAACGATTAATGAGTAATCACAATATATACAGGCATGAACGGACAAATTTGTGCTTCCTTTTCGATGTGGGATTTCTATACATTAATTTTTTGCTTTTAAAACCTGTACAACAAGAATAAGTGGCTTTATCGTGGTAGAGTAGAGGCACTCAGCAAACTCCTCAATGGCAATGGTTAAAGTGTTCACAAGCACACTAAATTTTTATTATTATTATTTTTGGTGCAGTTTTTGTTGGTTAAATCAGTTACTTCGATTGGATTAGTTATTTTGTATAACATTATGGGCCACCTGTAAGAAGGTATCACAACGTAAAGATAAAGAGTAATTATTGAATATTTTTTTAGAGAACTTTATAAGAGTATATGTATTGACGCTCACATTCTACTTTTTACACACACGTTCTTAAATTATTTCTATTTTACTTGTTACTTCCTTCATAAATTTTCAAAAAAATCCCTACAACTAAATTACTTCCCTTCTACTTTTCACACCAACCCACATTCTACTTTCTACACCCCTGTTAAAATTTCAAAGTCTCTAACTAAATTGTATTGTATTTTTTTTTTCACCCACTCACCAACCAAACTTATCCTTTGTGTTTTTTTTTTGTTTTTTGTTTTTTTTTCTTTCTAGATTCCACAATCTGATACTTTAGTTTTTGAGAATTTGTTTTTGTGCTGTTATTCTGATCCAAAACTGGGTTTCAATCACGGGGTGTTCGCCCTACCATCTCTCTCTGTCTTCTTTTTTTTGGTGAAGTGACTAGACATGCATTTGTAGGCCGAATAGTTTTCAGATAAGCGAAATAACCCAATCTTCCTACAATTTGAACTGAGAGGGAAAAACAATTGGAAAAAAAAATTATTATTAAATGTTGTGTAAGCATATCATTCTTGACATTTTAGGGAAGGAAAATGCTAGTAACTACACTCGAACCAGAATACCAGATTAACTAAGATGTAATGCTAGTTACTACACTCGTGAAATTGATAATTGTTAATGACTTGGAATTGGTAGACGAGATATAGGTTAACTTTACTAACAACAAAAAAGAGAAATCCGTGTCCAAAAAAAAAAACCCCCCAAAAATATTCATCATTTGAACGGTATTCGATATAATTGGAATATGAAAGCAACAAGACTTAAAGATTTCCTAATGCGGGCGCCAGTTGGCAACTCTTGTACATATTTCACTACTGTTAGAAGAATTAGCAACTCGGAACTCTGCATTTCAGTAAAGCTCCTCGCAAAGTTTGGCAACCTGCATAACCTGTTAGAGCATTCTGCTAAGTTGGAAGCTGTTCTTGCCTTCACACATCTGAGACTATAGATCTGATGCCTTGAGCTTCCTAGGCCTTTTAGACTGGGCTGGCGACGATGGAGCTTCTGATATCCTTCCAGGTGCCTGAAGAGGTCTCGGAAGTATGTTAATTTACATCGAAAGGTGCAATGAAAAGAAAACAATACATTTGAACGAAAACGAGCATTTACCTTGCGTTTCTGATCCCTTTTACCAACCCTTTCTCCTGACATTCATCAAAATTACACGGGTTCAGTAGAAAGATATATTAAATAATCCCAGAAACAAACAAGCAAGAAACTGGACAAACACCGTAAGGCTACGAGCAAGAGTTGTATAGTCCTCGACATATTTACCTCCAAAACTCATCGAGTCGGGAACAAACATCCGATCCTGATCCACAACATGGTATCAAAATAATTAGTACGGCGACAAACTAATTTAAAAGAACTAGCATTCCGATGGCTATATGCCAAAGATGCCTACTTAATAAACAAGGAAGCTAACCTTTGGAGTGCCTGGCGTTTCGTAAGGATGATCGCGAAAAGACGAACCTTCAGCCTCCTTATATTGCAACTGATAACGAGAAAAGGAAATAAGGGAGAAACTCAAGAATATCGTACTTAATCCATTCATATGCATGCAGAATCAAGGAAAAGAAGAGCAAGGGCATGTGACACCTGTTTCTGAAGATTGAGTAGAGTGAGTATTTCTTTCCTTAATTCAAGATGCTCTGCACAAACAGCTTTAGTTGGAACCCTTGGTTTTAGATTAACCTGTAAAGATCAAGACAACATTTTAAACCTGTTTTGAAGAGTGATCTATATCGTTGATAATTAAAGATTCAAAGGAGTTGTTCTTCGGAAGGAAATACTCAATAGCAATTCTTAAGCAGCCAGAATAACCAGAGACACTTTGCTTTCTAGCTCTTTCATACATTGAATGCCAAGACGAGAAAGTACATAAGAAAAAGGCACAAACCCCGAGATCTTGTAAAGTTTGCTCAACTCGCTTGATAGTCCGAAGTCCAGCAGATGAGCTTGCAGCTTGTATCATTTGGTCAAGTGCATATGTCCTCAGATACACCCGAAGCTGTAAAGTTTCTAGATCAGTTAGTTATTCATATGATCTAATGGCAAGGCAGCATTTAGTTCAACATCTTATGCGCGCACACAAACACAAGGGAGGGAACATATGTGCCAAACCAGCCATCAGACATACCATGCGCAAAGATGCTATAGTTGCGGCATTGTCTGCCATCAATGTTGAAGGTGCAACTGCTGCAGATGGAAGCTGAACATTAAGAGAAGGTGACACAGTGTCACCAGGAACATCAGCCCTATCAGCATTGTCATGACCAGCACTTGAAGCAACAGGCAACTCAGACTCTTCAGCGCCCTAAAAAGAGAAAAACATAAAGTACATAAACATGCAAGCAAGGCACACCTCATCACTTCAATTCAAGCGCAAACCAATTTCTTTCTTAGTCACCAGGCTCCGCACTCCAGGGGAAAAAAATATTTTCTATGAACGATATTGTAATTCCATTCCCACCGTATGAAGACCAGAACTCCAACCACAGTCGTGAGCTTGACCAGCTCAAATGAATAAATAAAACACGAACAAATATCTAATTGGTGACATACCCTGGCAGCCACCCGCGATTCACTTATTCTTTTTGCATCCGCAAGAATCTGAGGAAATGAAGAAGAGACTACATGAGTTTTTCTTGATAAATCAATTTCCAATAAATGTCTGAAGAACCTACTATGCAACTCAATTATTCAAAGATTACAAAACAAAGCTAGACCAACAAAGTTAGACCTCAGCATCTTTTCGCTCTTGCTGCTTCGTTTGCGAGAGTACCATGGATAATGCTCGCTTGCGTTCTTTCTCTTGTGAGACATTGTAAGTTTCCTAATCCAGGACAATTAAAAAACTAGATTAGAATAGTAGTATAGTATCATAGACCTCAAAAAGAAGACAATTACTTGAGTAAAAAACTGCAACCTATGATTAAGTAAATATTAATTCATACAGTCCTCACACCTTAACAAGAGGGTTCCCCGTAACATCTCCAGGAGATGTAGCTCTAGCCATTAATATAGATCGAGATACTGCAAACAAAAATGGAATGACAATAAACATAAGGAAGATACATTCAAACAACATGATAATGAATACAAATTATACAATGAAAAGATGACAGTTGGCATACCACTGTAATAGCGATTCTTCAACTCCTCCACCGTGCGAGATGATGGGAACCTATCAGCTATCACAATGAACCGGAGATCAAACTGTTTGCACAATTCAAACAATCGATCTGTCTCTTCCTTGGTCCAACTCTAATAGAGATACGATATACAAAAATGGGATAAGATATTTAATAAAAAATGGTATATCACAAAAAAAGACACGTTCAATGGTATTTATATACATTTAATCTTCATTTGATACCTACAGGATCAGCCAAATGTTTCGCATACTCCTCATCTGTGTACTGGACAATGTCAATGGACTGCAAAACATCAAATACACCAACCATGATGGGAAAACGGTCAAGATATCTTTTTCACAGTTTACTGTTACAAAGATAAAAATGATATTTTGATACCTTGTTATACTTGGCAAAGGAATAGTCACCCGTCGGTGGTACGCCATTTACAACTCTAACCTGTGGATTAAAAAACCCAGATAAAACAAATAAACGAACTGTGGATTAAGAGTAACAGATACAAATTTTCACCACCCTCAACTAGTAACCAAGATATCCTAATTAAACAACAATAATCGTCAGGCTCACCCAGTGATAAAGCTGCAAATTATCCTTCCGAGCAGAATTTGTAAAAGGAAGCCACTGCCAAGTGATCTGGAAGAATGATATTAACATTTCTTCATTAAAACCATATATAATCACGGAATAAAATTAACAGAGCATATTGTTAAGAACACTAAGCTGATCAATTTAGTAAGATCACAAAGCCGTATAAATACTATCTTCTAACAAGTTCAAACCACTAACCAAACCGGAAAAAAAAAATAATAAGAAATAAGAAAAAGAACAAACAACCTTCTCATCAACTGGCGGGCGTTTCTTCAATTGGGACGAGTCTATCGTTGGCATAAGTGGTGGCATACCACCTGTGAGCGCGTAAACCTACAATTGAACAACAATTATTTTCAGTTCAATTTGCTAAAATACAAACCAGAAAGATTCCGAGAAATCCTAAGCAAAGACAAAGAATTTGATACATACCTCCCTGGAAATTCCATCTGGTTTTCTCTGAGAGTCCTTCTGAGACCGTGATTTCTTCTCTTGCGGTATCGGAATCGCGGTTTTGGGCAAGCCCAGAATGTCCTTGGCGTCCATTGCAACCATCCCTAAAAGCTAGGGTTTGTTTCTTTTCTCATAAACTTTCAAATTCGCAGGGCATCTCGCAAACGTTTTGGAATAGCATCTAATCTTTGATTTCTGTATCAGAATAGATAGACATATAGTCTGTTTTTAATTTGTTGTAATTGTAATTAGTTTGCAATAAACTAATCCTATCGGTAGAAAATTGGATTTTTAACACATTTACCCACTAAATATATCATAATTTAACAAATTATCTCTAAAACTTTTTTCGATAAGTTACTCTTTTAATTTATAAAATTGTTATAATATATCACATTTTAACAATAATTATGTTAGATTAATATCTAAAAAGCACGTTCATCGAAAAATTTTAAAGTAACATGAATCTTTCAATTTTTTAATTTTTAATCCTTAAATATAATAAAAAATTGAGCTAATTTACTAAAATGGGACACATTGTAACAAATTTACAAGTTTAAGGGGTTACAAGTTAACAACTTTAATTGTGAAAATTAAAAGTTTGAAGGGCAATTTGTAAAACCATGACAAGTTTAGGGGCCAATTGGGCTAAAAAACCCCGTAAAAAATCTCTACTAAAAAAAGTCCTTTTTTTTATGACTGGTCTCGAATTCGATACCTCAAAAAGTGTCAGACTCCTACGGCAATCGTCATATCACCTAACACCGTATAGTTGTATTTGAATGGTTGAGAAATGCTAACATTATTATTTCTGTTACTTTTTGTATTTATTCTTTGACATGTGGACTCTACTATTTCATTGTCTCTTAAAATATTATATCATGTTAGTGGAGTTCACATGTCAAACAGCGAAATGTAAAATGTGACAAAAAGAGTGACAGAAACAGTTATATTAGCATTTGAAAGTGTATTTGAACTATAATTTGAGTTTTGATTTAATTTCTTTGTGAGAGAACAATTAGCATAAAATTTGTTAATTTAAATTCTTTATGAGACGACAAATTGAAGCATAATCATAGTTTGGGTTTTGAATACATATACCAAACAGACTCTAAAAATTTTCAAGATAATTGTAACACATAGACCATTTTCTTAAATAAGTGGTAGGCACAATTACCAACAGTGAAATAAATAACATATTATATAATTTTAATATGTTGTATTCCAATTTTATCCTTATGTTCCTTATCTCTTTTGAAACTTTTAACTATTTATATTTTGATTTTTTAACTTTTTAAAAATTATATTTTGATCACTTAATTTTCAAAATTTTATATTTTGACCCATTCATTTTTGAAAAATTACATTTTGACATGTTTTTTTTAAAATATACATTTATACCCATGGTAAATGGATGGTTTACCAACCTAATAAATGGATCATATACATTACGTGGTAAATGAAAAAAAAAAATAAATCATTTACATAAATGATTCATTTACTACATTTACCCGATAAATGAGGTAAATGGATCATTTTATTAGGTAAGTGTTTGTAAAGGTAGTAAATGAATCATTTACTAGGTAAATGATTCATTTACCAGGGTTTTTTAAAGTATTTTTAAATTTTAGTCAAAATGTAATTTTAAAAAATTAAGGGGTTAAATTATAATTTTTTTAAAAATAAGGGTCAAATTATAATTTTGTAAAAGTTGAGGGGTGAATGTGTAATTTTACAAAAATTAAGGGGTCAATTTCAATTTTTAAAAATTAGGGGTCAAAACTACAAAATTTTGTATTTTAACTGTGTGCTTACTAGCTTTATTTATTTATTTTTTTCTGGCAAGCATTTTCTTTTAAAGTGTCTTTTTCAGCTTTTTTCCCTTTCCATTTTTTTTAATTGTATTTGACATATTGTTCTTTTTCTTCTTCGTTTTTAAATCTTGTATTTTTCATCGTTTCCCATTTAAGTATTTTTCTATTAATTTTCTCTTTAAACACCTCATTTATTGTTATTATTTTTTACTAGCATAAATATTGTCTACATTTATATGTATTGATGTTGAGCATGATAACTTAATTAATTCAATTGTTATTTCAACGTATTACTAATTAGTATTAGCTATTTCTCATGTTTCTAGTAAAATCTTCTATTATTATATTTTTTTTTTGTTTCTCATGTGTTTTTTTTTTTGTTTAGTCTTATTTTATTTAGTTTCTTTTAATGTATGTATTTCATTTTCAGCGTTTTTTTTTTTTTTTTTTTTTTTTGCACGTTGCGCTTTTTTTAACTTTTTCATTTTGCATTTCTTTTCATTTCCTTCTCTCGCCCTTTTCTTTTCTTTTTAGTTTTCTTACCCTTTATGTATAATTTTATGCATTTACGTGTATTGCATTTATATATGTATATATATGTTGGTGTTTTTTTTGTTTTCTTTTTTGTTTTCTTTTGCTCCTCTTTTTTTTTCCTGTATTTTAGTTTTTTTTAATTAAAATTAAATTGGACTAAAGAAGATTGATGATTAAAGTAATTTAACAACTATTGTTATGATTATTTTAATAAAGCATTTTATTCTTTTGGTGTATGAAATTTATTCAATTTTCAAGGAAAAGAAATACTCGCACAGCATACAAGTATTCTTATATCCTTTGAGACTTGTATTGTAGGTGAGTACGTTAATAGCAAATCCCTTGTGATATTTTGGGGAGTGTACGTATGTAGGTGCTCGTGGAGAGTGATATATATATATATATATATATCTTTTCCTCCATGTGCTAGCTAGCTGTTTGTACCGGAACCAATTGCAGTGTTTCTTTATTCATGTCCCCTTTTATGTTCTTTTAGTACTATTATGATACGTCAATTTAAATATTATATTAATTAAAAACTATTATCACGTCAATTAAAAAATCAAGACGTGTCATATTATTATTGAATAGACACAAAAAAAGACAAGATAAAAAGGACATATGAACACAATCCGTTTGTACCCTCTTGGTCCGTTTGGAGTGCAGGATAAGATACCATCAGATGAGATATTATTAAAGGATTATATATTGGAGTGTATAGGAGTGGATTTTAGTTAATCCTACCCTATTTTTGGTGTTCTATTGTTAGGATAGGATAAATAAAGCGAAAAAAAAATAATAATAAATTTACATGTGACAAGCAAAAAAAAAAAATTGACATGTGACTCGTTTGACTGTTAAATTAACTTTTAAATTTATTAAACAAACTATGTTCTTTTGGTAGCATGCTATCAGCCCACGAGTCCAAGTTATATCAACCTATGTTCCCTTTTTTTTTTTCTTTGTTTTTTTTCTTCCCTTCAAATAGAGTTGAGAGTATACATCTCTCTCTCCCCCCAAAACATCAGTAGTTTTCCAGAAAGAAGAGAATTCAAAGCTCCACTTGTCTCTAACTAAGGTAAGACTCCATATATGGTACCAAAGCTAGGTCCGTCACTTTCCCAAACTCTAACGTTATCATGATCATTTGCTGCCATAAACCATATATGATCTTCTCTTTCTTTTAGTACTTAATTATTTCATTCTTCTCTCTTTAAATATTGTTCATCCTCCTACTATCATACACAATGATCTATTTAATACCATGGTCTAAGATAATTAAACTTGTAGAGTCTTCATTAAATTTTGTATATCTAACCCCTAGCTATATCCTCCCTTTTTTGCAGGGTTTATTCACAATAACCATGCTTGACGCTGTGCCCATTAGAATCTTCCACAGAAAAGAAGTCTACAAGGATAGAAGTAAACTCCTGTCAACCTTATCTCGGCCCTATCCTGTCTGAGCTTTAATTTTATATCATATAATAGTACTACTTCTCATCAATTATATATTGTTGGTCGTCGTTATTTTCTTCCCGTCACATTTGTCTAATCTATCATTATATGTTCACCTGTCACGTTTTTTTTTTTCTTGACCTTGTAAGACCCTAGTCCAAATTCTCTAGGCAATTCTTCACACTCGTTAATTTTCTATCCCTCCTGAGCTATCCAATTGTTCATGACTTTTTTTTTTTTTGAGGTTTTTCAGCCCCACTATATATTTATATATATATATTGGAACTTGAAACGCACTCAAACAATATTACTTGCTCCTTTTGGTGCAGTACAATGTGATTCACTGTTAGTGTACCTCTAGAGATATTTTCACGCAGGAAGCAAGTCAAATGTTAATGTTTTCTTCGTGCCCAAAATTTCACTGTTCAATGAAATGGCCTCTTTTTTTGTCGTTACTTGGGTAAAGTTGTTAGTGAAAAGATATATAGAAGAGAGGCCCACTAGCTAATATCCTTTCCATAGAGACATGTGTAATTGTAGCAAGGTACGTACATTAATAGTGAAACCCTTGTGATATTTTGGGGATTGTACGTACATATACGTACTCGTAGAGTTATATATCTTTTCCTCCATGTGACAGCTAGCTGTTCGTACCCTCTGAGTTTACTGATGGAACTAATTCATTCAATAATATTGAATGTGAACTTGTGCAGCTCCAGAGCAATTACAGTTGTTTTTGGATGATGTTGGTCATATATATATATATATATATGTATATATATTGTTGTATCTACTGTTTCTTTACTCGCGACAATACTGCGGAGACAGATAAGAGGAAGAGAGCGTACTATAAATTGTGTTTATGCAAATTATTTTATTCCAATTCTTATATATTAAAATTATTTGTCTTGTATACTTTAATATGATAATTAAACGTTGGTATATTTTTGGGGTGGTGTTACGGCTAGTTATTCCTACTTGAATTGATAAGGATGAAGGCTGTTATATCGACGGTACTTGTAGCTAGCCAGTATTGATAGCAACAATACTGTACATTATTGTAGTATTGTCGTGGCCTGCATGATCATCATAACAAATTGGTCCTCAAACTGAGAATAAACTGAATAATGGCTTGGACATCAATAAATTACAAGGTTTTTTATTTTTAGTTTATTACTCATCCTAAGAGCAACTCTAATCATGCTAGCTATTTCATATTTTTAGTCAAAATAACTAATGATTTAACTAAAAATTAGATTTTTTCAACTCCAACCATTAGCTGAGTGATTAGCTATTTTAGATAATGTCTTCCACACTAACTAAATATAACTAGTATGGAGAGGCTAGCAATTTCATTTTTTATATTATTTTATTTTTTTAACCGTAATA